GTCTGCATCTGATAGATTGCTTATCTCCATTTCATTTAGCACTTTTTCTGGAGTTTTGATCTGTTCTTTCATTGAGCCATGTTTCTTTGTTTCCTCATTTTGGCAGCCTCCCTGTATTTGTTTCTATGTATTAGGTAGACCTTCCTTGACTCTCGGTCTTGGTAGCATGGCCTAATGTAGTAGATGTTCTGTAGGGTCCAGTGGCACAGCCTCCCTCCCCTTTTACCCAAGCTAGGTACTTGAAGTGTACCCTTTGTATGGGCTGAGTACACCTTCCTCTTGTAGTTGAGACTTCGTTGCTGTTGGCAGATCAATGGGAGAGATTAACTCAGGCCAGTGAGCTGTGAAGGACTGGCTGTGACCATCGACCTTCTGTGGAGGATCAGCTGTGCAGGGGCAGGGTAGGGGTGAGATCTGGAGCTCTTCACTGGGTGTGTTGGCCCTGGGGTTTCCCCAGGTGGTGCAGGCCCAGGTCAGCCCCCACCTGTGTTTTGCCTGGGGCACCTTGCCTGAGCTGTAAAGCAATCTGAGATGGCTGCTATATTTGCTGGGCTTGGAGATTCCTAGGTGAAGCCAAGCTGTGACTCTAATCTAACTCTAGGGCCCACTGAAACCAGTTGTTCCTTGTTTGATAGGATTTGGGAGCCAAGACCAGCCATTGTTATGGAAAAGCAGCTTGGGTGGGCCTTTAAGTTGAGTGGGGTGGAGCATCTGTGGATCTCCAAGGTGGGTCACACAGTGTTAGCCAGGTTGACGGAGTCTCAGACATGGCACCAGCTTACTGGCTCTGTACGGAGAGGGCTCACCAGAAGGACTATGGCCTCTGCTTGCCCCCATGCCAGACTCTTCAGTCTCTCCCTATACACCACTGGTGCCCTTCAGGCTGCCATCCCAGTGCTGGAGCTCAGAGGGTGTGAGTCTGAGTAGGTGAGTACGTGTGTGAGGTCCCCAAGAGGAGCTGCTTAGGGCTCCAGCAGCCTTCTCCACCGACTCAATCCCCTCTCGTTTTCACAGCCAGAAGTTGTGGGGACTTATCTTCCTGGCACTGGAACCCTGGGCTTGGAGGCCTTGTGTGGGGCTGCAACTCCTTGCTCCCAAGATATCCCTCCCAAATTTTTATCTCTGTGGGTGTGGAGCCAGCCTTTTTCATGACTGCGCTCCTACCAGTCTGGATGAATGTTGTTACTTCAGTTGCATAGTTGTCAGACTTCCATTCAACTTGGTTTTGTAGTTGTTAGACTTCCATTCAACTCGATTTCTGACATTCCTGAGTGATGTCTATATTTTACTTGTAATTTTGATGTGGTTGTGCAAAGAAGTGAGCTATGTCTGCCTATGTTGCCATCTTGACATGAAGCCTTATTTTTTAACATCATCAGAATTCAGTCCCTCAAGCTCTGTTTATAACACTGTCCAAAAGTGTGTGTGGTAGATGCCAACAGGGCAGCCTTTTCTTTGGCTGGCAACTCCAGGCCTACACCCTTCTCTGGATGGCCCTGACATACTGGTATCCTAAGGTTATGCCAGTTGAAGACTAGGTCTCCTAAAAGCCTCCCCAGTATTAGAAAATGACTTACATGAGTCCAGTGCCCACTTCCGTTTGTTCATCCTTATATGCCCAGGTTAAAGACTAGATAAACTACAATAGAATTACTTATTGAATGAATAAATGACTCCCAGGTAAGGGTGCTGTGGTGTCTGATCTGTTGTATGTTGTGTGTGTGTGCTTGCTTCATGCCTGCCCTGAAGGGCTGAAAATGTCCCTAGAAAAACCCACAACTATGCTGACGAATGACACATCATGGTCTCAAAATGAACCTCCTCCTCCCTACATTTTGCTGGTCAGCTCGGTTACATGACAGCAACAAAACAGACATGAGGTTGCAAACACTTGGTCAGTCATGATTCCACCTCTGATGTTCCCTTCTTAAATAATTTTAAATATATATTCTGTGGAAAGAGTCACTGTGGCTTTGTCATTCCCAAATTGATTCAAGACCTTCGTATCCTATATTTCACTCTAGTGTAACCTCATGCAAGACTTTAATAATTTTATTAAATAACAAAAGTGGTATTGGATATTTTTTTAAATTCTTCTGTAGTTCAAAAAAAATGTTTAAAGCTTAATGTCCCAAAACAGGGGGAATATTAATTTTAAAAAGTCAGCATTTTGTAAACATCCTTGACGCATGTCAGCTCTTTTAAGAAAAGAAGTCAGTATGCACATTTGTCCAATGGAAACACCAAAATTCTATTCTGAAATTAAGTTCATAAACACAAGAAGTTTTTAGGCCTTGGCCAGGTAGCTCCATTGGTTAGAACGTCACCCTGATAAGCCAAGATCATGGGTCTGATACCCGGTTAGGGCACATGCAAGAACAAACCAATGAGTGCATGAATACATGTAAGTGAAACAACAAATCTCTCTCCCGTATGCTCTCTAAAATCAATACATTAAAATTTTTTTGATTGAAATATATTTTCAAAAAATTTTACAACTTTCTTAGGTAAAATTTTGGCATTCCTGTGAGATTGATACCACCTGTGTTTAACATAAATCCTTTATTCTTCCTTCAAGTGAGCCGAGAGAAGCGAATGGAGTTTGACTGCAAATTATGAGGATATTCCTAAAAGCATGTCCTAATGGACAAGAAAAGATGTCAGGTTGGGGCCATCCAAAGAAAGAGGACCTGTCCAAGCTCCCAGGGAGGGTCATGACCCCTGGCTTCCAGGAACAGTAATACTGGCAAAATCCAAATTTGTTCTTTTCCACATTGTAATTTTCCTCCCCACCCCCCCAAAAAAAATCTGGATAAAAATCTAGAGCCTGGACTTGGCTATCCTTTGGAGAATGAGGGAAGGGCCTGGGTGTCTACTGACCTGAAGGAACACAGAGAGGACAGTAGCCACTCAGGGAAAGCAAGCAGTCACTGCCAGAATTCCTGGGGCAGCAGCAGGCTGAGTCATTAGTGACTACCAACCAACACAGATACTTGGACCTCTAAGCATGCCTCCCTCTGAATCCCCCAGACATAGTTGGAAGAGGAATCAGGTTAAAAAGTTGCACTTTGTAGAAACAGTAACACAAAATGCACAACACTGAACCATAAACCTGGAGCTTTCAGACACACGCACCCTACCTTCTCTCTCCTGCCCACATTAAAATTGGTCACTTCCCTACTATAGTCTTATCCTGAAAAGCTTCTACTGTCGATCCCTGGAGGTTGGGGATTCCATGCTTTTTAAGATTCACCTTACAATGTATAAATATGTCCAGTTTTCTGTCAGTTTTTCACAGAATGTTCATTTAAAGAGCTGTTCCTTGCTTTTAGCCTGGTGTTGTACACCTGAGGATCAATCATAAGGGCAGCAACAATAAGTTTAAAAGTCTATACAACTTAGAGATTTGCTAAACTTTTTTAATTTTGTCGTCAAATATTGTGAAACCCTAAATAGGTTTTATTTAATTGATTCCCAATTATCTACCTGACTTTTGGTCCTTAAAAAATGCCATTAAATTAGCTAAGCATGAGCCCTGGCGAGGCTGCTTGGTTAATTGGAGTGTCATCCCATATACCAATGGGTTGTGAGTTCGATCCCCAGTGAGGACACATAAAGGAGGCAACCTATTGATGTTTCTCTGTCACATTGATGTCTCTCTCCCTACCCACCACTTTCTCTCTCTCTAAAACAAATAGACATATCATTGAGTAAGGTTTTTTAAAAATTAGCTAAGCATGATTACCCTGTACCTAAATTGAAATTCCCTTATATTTGCTAAGTTTTGAAAATATGTGATGTTGATTAGCTTTTAGTCACCATCAGCATGTGCCTGTAGTCAGAGAGGTCACCCCTCCTGTTCTCTGCTGAAGTACTTCTCAGCAGAAATCCTCCACATCTTTTTCAAAAGTCTCTAATGACAAACTTACATTTGGAGGTCCTCAGTTCCCCATTTTTACCCTTGTTCTCAAAGCTCTCAGGTGATGACCAACTAATAGTGCGTTTGCCCTGTGAATCTTGATCTTCTGGCATACAACACTCTGACATTTGGTTACCAGCAGATCTCATGACTTGGAAACTTATATAACTGAAGGGTTGAAGGCTTGATTTTGGATTTTGCTCTGAACTTTAGTTTTGTTCTACCAAAAGTAATTAACATTAGCTTCTTGAAAGCACACACCAGGTCTTACTCTTTTGTTTGCTCTTTTCTGCTCACATAGGGTGGGCAGTTAGAAGAGGGTTTCAGCACATGAAGTGTCAGGAACTGATGTTCAGGAACTTTCCTGAGATGCAACCTGTAGCAACACTGCACCTGAGCCAGGTTTTTGTTGTGCCATGTCTGGGGCCTAGCAAGTGGCATCCATAGAGATTAGCTTCCTATCTTAAGGTTGGCTCTGGTTCAGTCCTTCGCCTCGTCAACATTTACTGAGCACTTATAATCAGCTGGGCCCTCACAGCTGAACAAGATACAAACCCACCACTCCATGATATCAGAATGTAATGGGGAAAAAGTCACTTCCACTGATAGTGGCTTCACGATGTGGTCAGTTCATGATAGAGATCAGCATCCATTTTGTAAGGCTTTTCTTTCATTAGAGTCAGTGAGAAAAAAGCTATGGTCTAGGCAAGTAAGGATAATGGAATTTTTAAAAATTATTTTAAATTACCTCTTTCATGAAAAATTGCTGGGGCAAAACAGCACTCAATAGATAACATTCCTAAAATAGTGCATTGTTATCACTGGGTTGAATAATCCTATGATAGTAATATAGGTGCAGATAATATACATTAAACAATGCAGTTGGAAGTTGGTATGCCCAGATCAAAAAGTGGCCTAAATGAAATGAGACAATTGATAGCAATGATCCTGAGGAAAACTCAAACGGTTTTATGAAATGGGAAAAGGCAAAAATATAGAATATTTCATGTACAATTTCATATATATATAATCAAGTTACTAAAATAAATATTGAAAGCAGGAGTTCTCTCTTCTCGCATGAATATGTTTCTGTAGACTATATAGTCCTGTCAGCGCCACTGGAGCCATCAATTTTCACTTCATCTTTGCCTTTCTAAGCCTCTCATTCCTGACTCAGTGCTTGAGGTATCTGATACTATTTGGCTTCTTCCTTCACTACTCTTTTTGCGTTTGGTTATTTGTGTGCTTCACCTGCTACCTCTTACGGTGCAGGCTCTGGTGGGACCCCACCTGCTACCTCTTATGGTGCAGGCTCTGGTGGGGCCTGCTCTGGCGGGACCGCCTCCGGCGGCGGCGGGGCCTCCGGCGGCGGGACCTCCTCCGGCGGCGGCGGGGCCTCCGGCGGCGGCGGGGCCTCCGGCGGCGGGGGGCCCTCCGGCGGCGGGGGGGCCTCCGGCGGCGGAGCCTGTTCTGGTGGGGGGGCCTGTTCCGGTGGGGGAGCCTCTTCCGGCGGGGGAACCTGTTCCGGTGGGGGAGCCTGTTCCGGTGGGGGAGCCTCTTCTGGTGGGGGAGCCTGTTCTGGTGGGGGGGCCTCAGGCAGTGGAGCCTGTTCTGGTGGGGCCTCCTCTGGTGGGAAAGCCTGGGATGGTAGAGCCTGTTCCATATCCTCAGGTTCCTTTTCTGGCTTCACTGATAAGAGTGCCTCAGACTCTGAGGTGCTTACCTCTGAACTCAATTCTGGGGAGGCTCCTGGGGTCTCTACAGACTCAATGCCAGCACTAAGGCTAATACAGCATAGTAATAATATCAATGTTAATAAAAGAAATGTAGGGAATATGAACATTATAAGTTTAGTATTAATAGTTAGAGGCTTACGTTCAGCAAGACTGCCACTTCCATCTACATTTGGATTTTCATCATCAGGCTTGCCAGGGGGACCACTGTCCACACTACCCCCATCACCTATGGTTTTGCAGTCAGGGGGTGCATAGCCAGCCTCACAATGGCAGTGCCTTAAGTTGTTACAGACCCCTCTCCCGCTACACATTTCCGCTGGATCGCAGTCGTAGTTGAGCACGGCATAATCGGTGCAGGAGTAATTCATGCAGACTTTGTTTGGGGCACAAGGAGTGCCGGAGCGCACGTCCCCGTCATCAGGGATGTCAGTGATGTTATAGGCATCCATGGTCCAGCAGAAGTCATCTTCATGAGGAATCTGGATCAGTGTGTGATAGGGTTTGAGTGATGGGACCCATTTAATATTTGTACATACAATTTTCCCACAAAATATATTATCATCCAAACACTTAACATATCTTGACGTTGCTGAGGTGGGACGGCCACAGTTTCCAAACCGGTCCCCTTTGCTGTTTATTGAAATGTAACAGTTGTCAGGGGCAGACTGTGCAGGGTACCCATATAGATCCGAGCATTGATTATCAGGGTTCCTACAGCGACCCCCAACGCAGTAGTGAAGTCTATCACACGACGTACCATCTTGCTTATAGCTGTCTGCAGGGCACTCTGCAGAGGCACCGTCACAGTACTCTGGGAGGTCACACTCTCCCGAAGCAGAACGGCACACGAATCCCTTATTTCTCAGCCGGCAACCAAAACAGCAGAGGCCATCACTACAGTCTGCATTCCCTCTCAAGCTACATGTTTGGTCACAGCACGGGTGACTGTAACAGGAAGAACCACAGTCACACTGCTCGTCATCCTCCACCACCCCGTTTCCGCAGCTGGAAGCCCTCCTCGAGCGGCCCTTGTGCCGAGGGTTGTTAAATAGGCAGGCCCCTTTGTGTTCCTGGAGGAACCGGTAGAAGTAGTCAGAGCTGCAGTTGCTGAAGCCACTTTCTTTAGTGATGTTCTCATACATGAGGCAGAAGCGGTTCTCTCTACAAATGCAGGCCGAGTGGTCGTGCTGAATGCCCAAGTTGTGCCCAAGCTCATGGACCATGAGCGCTGCAAACAGGAGGACGTCTTCGTGATGGAAGGATTCAACAGCTGCTGCAAAGCCACTTGTACAGGCCCCATTGAGAAATGCCTGTCCCATGCCCTGTTCAGGATGCTGTCCGACAATCATGTGGGCGACGTCATGCTTCGCACGGTGGAGGAGCTTCTCTTGTCTCCAGCTGTTGAAATTCCTGAGTGCAACCTGCAGGTCCACTGGGACCTCTGTGAGGTCCCCCTCGGTCCAAATCTCCATTCCGGCCAGCACCACCTCTGTGTTTATTCCCCTGGTGAAGCTGTTGGCCAGGGCAATGATGTCCATCACTCTCTGCACTGTCTCACTGACATTACTGCCCCACATTTCGAACCGCCGGTTGTTGACCACGACAAACATCTCCACGTACTTGGCGTGTGACCACAAGTGGGACAGCGCCTGTGGACCGCCAGGCGTCCTGCTCCCTTGTTGCCGGCTGGTGGACACCACTCGGCTGTCTTTGGAAGTGACGCTGCAGGAGGCTCGAGCTTGACGCGCCGTGGTGTACAACACGTGTTCATACCGTTTTGAAGAGGCCATGGGCTCAATGCCATAGGATTGTCCCTCCTTAATCAGGATGCCCCTGAGGCCTGAACAGGTGTTGACAGAAACAAAAGAACCCGGGACTCCTTCTATGTAGCCTTCATAGTGACAGTCATGTGAGGTGAGAGGCGTTTCTTGTTCCAGGATGCCATTGTGGTAGCTGAAGACTGGGAAGTTACTGACAAAATAGCCCGTCTTCGCCTTCAGGTGAATCAGCTGTTTCTGGCCCTGCATAAACATCACGTAAGATACCTTTCCCACTGGGTCTTCCTTTCCCTCAGCTGTCAGAGCCTTGGGGGTGACTATTTCATAGGAAGAGTAATGCACTGATCCTAGGGCATAGTACATACTTGGCAGAAAAGCCACCAACAGCACAATTCCCAACCTGACACATGAAGATCTTGGCACTGTCCCCAGCCTCAAGTCCCTCTTCTGCTGTGCCCAAGTCTGAAAATTTATCTTACCCTCTTTCAAGGCTACTTTATTTCTCCATAGAGAAGGCCATACAGAGCCAGACTCTTTCCCAGAAGCGGTCACTGACATGGCTCGGTGAATTAGTTGATGACACAGGGCCTATGTCCATCAGCAGCCGCTGTCCCTGGCATGCTGAACCTTGGAGACTCAGATCTGTGATGATTCCCTTATGGGTAACTGCTGTCCAACTCTGAGTCTTATGGACCTTGAAATTACGTTGTATTCTTGCTTCTGTCTTCAGTAGTCTCCTTATTATATGACTTTATTCAAACAGCAACAGCTTTAAGTCTCCTTGGCTAAGTTCCCTTTACCCTCACAGAGAGACATATCAAGTAGGCCTGTAATGATTCAGCCACTATTGTAACTCTGACAAATTATCCTTACCCTCAGCCGAGGCCGCAAGACTCCTGGATATCCGTTAATCTGCTCATTCTTTGAAACCCAACATTCCGGCAGGAGGTTGGGGGGAGGGGACAGGGGTTCTTTGGGGATCTATGAGCAGGACAAAGTTCTCTGTTGCTCACTACCTCTTTTCCTCATTTCTATTGTAATTCAGTGTACTGTTTACCAGTCCAACCCTTTTTTGTCAGTATCTGTTTTTTAATTCAAGAAAAATCGTACATAGATGCACAAATTCTCCCTCATTGGCCTGTGTTCATAACAGATGAATTTAGACATTTTATATCAGCATATAAACATAATTTTTATCTACTAAGAAGTTTTCCTAATACATAGACATATTAAGTATTCAATTAAATGAGCTCAGTTTCATCATGGAGGTATTGTAAGTGACTAGGATCAAAGTTCAATTTCTCCCAACTGTCCCAACATGAAGACAAACTGATTGTTAACCAGGTACCCAGATACCATTTCATCAAAAAAATAAAAGTGAACTCTTTAAGACCTTTTAAAAGATTTCTTCACTTTTGTAACTAAAACTGAACTGTAAACTCTGCAGATATCCTCAGATTTGGTTTTAATGTTGATTTCCTTACGCATTCAGCAGTACAAATTTAAAAGGAAAAAGTTGGGAGCATGGGAGCCCTATCCACATCCCTTGCCCAGTCATTATTTTCCTGTGTATTCTAGGATGAAGTAAAATAAGACTCTACATCTTTTTCCTTGCATAAAAATAATTTATATTAAGTCAAATATTTACAATATAAAATAAGGGTTATGAGTACAAGTTTAACACTAAAAAAACGGGGAACTACCTTATCTAATTCATGAAGAAATGATATGATACCACAAGATCTCAGATATGAGCATGATAGCAGATCAACTCTTTTAACTATCCCCAATATTTAATTCCTAATATAGATAAAATTTATCATTAGCATCTAGCAAGAAAATGTATAATCATATCACAAACCCATTTCAAAAACGTACAGCAAAAAAGGTAAACTGATTTCTAGCTGGATTTCTTTTCCCCTTGTAGTTTATGTACGAGGAAATCCTCTTACAATTATATAGTAATTATATATATTTCTCTATATAGTAAATTCTATATAATTTAGAAATTATCAGATTTAACATGTTTCTCTGTGTCTTAACCAAAACAGGTAGGGAAAATTAGGTTAAGTCATTTCATGGAATGAAAGAATTAAATCAATAATGAAAGAAAACCTCTACTTTTTAAATAAATAAAAATATAATTAAAATTAAATATCCAATAAATTTCCAGTTCTCAAATTGAAACACATTTTCAATAAATAACATACACAAGCATTCATACACATGATCTGATTTAAATCATTTGACTTTTTCTTTAACCAATAATTTCAACTTGTTTTCTCAAATACAAGAACAAAACTCTTTTCAAAAAGTAGTTGACTCCTATCAATGTTTCAAATGATAAATTTCTGACAAATAACCTCCTATGCTAATACCATATATTAGCTAGAAAGATATACAAGTTGTTTTTACATCAAGCAGATTTATAACTATGGTAATGTCTAAGGGTATTTGAGTGATAAGTAATGGTTTTAATAGACAGAGGTTAGCAAATCATATGGTAAAACTGGAGACTCTAACCTCCTGCCTTCAAGAACTGTTCTTACATGTGAATTTTCTGCAGGTTTAGGCATTAGAGAGACAGGCCAGAAGAGACAAGGCCGATTTTGTCTCACTTTCAGTTACGTGCAAATTTTGCTTTATTAGTGAACCTGACTGGTATGTTAAGGCAGTACTTGCTACTGGCCTACAAACTCACTCCACACAGAAAACTGCACTTTGAAGACCAAAAACTGCTGAGTCCTTTGGGAGCTACTGTCAAGGAGCTCTGTCCAGGGTAGGACCCATTTTTTAGTTACAACAGCTGGAGCATCCTGCAGGATATTCACAAACTTCCAGTGTGGGGTTCTTTTGGACATGGCTGGAGACAGTGCACATTTGGGGGGCCAGATTCATTCAGCCTGAAACAACTGACACATGGACAACTGCTGCTCAGAGTAAACAGGACCATCATTTTGGATACCCTGCCTACATCATGCCTAAAATTCATCACACACTTAAGGGAAAAAAACCATCGTGAACCATTAGAAGATATTCCAACAACAAACCTGAGAAGTTAATGGTAGACTTGGCATGCCAGAAAGTTACTCTGAAGCAAAAGAGTATACCTCCTATCCCCAGGGATTACTGAACCTCTGCCTTCAGATAAAAAAACAAGCAGTCAGTTATTCTAGAAACAAGTGCAGTTTTTTGCTGATTGCAAGAAGTGATTTGTAAGACTGCATTTCACTAAAAAAATAGAATAATGTAATTCAACCCTCAATTCAACATTTAGCTAAGTTTTCTGGTCAGTAAATAAAACATTTTTTCTCTGCTGCCTCTTAAATTTTGCCATGTTCAAAAGAACTGAATGCTCCTTACAGGGTATCCATTTACAACAGTTATCAGTCACCTAATATTAATGAATCTTACCTCAAAAAATACCGGAATTACAAATTCTCCAAGATAAAAGAGAACCAATGTAAAAAAGTAATTCTTAAAAGATACTTTGTATTATGTATTTCCACAGTAACACATATATGGGGCACACTAACCAAATGTCACCTTGATGACATACTCAGCAAAGTGGAGGAGTTATAAAATAAGTTAGCTCTGTGGGATGGATCTTGATTGAAGAGAATGTGACAGGATAAAACTGAATATTTGAGCCTACTGATCCTTTTTCCTCTGCTTTGAAGAATGGAGTATGCCTGTTAGCTCTTCTGTTTACCAACACAGGTACCCAGCAAAAACAGCTTAAAAAATAATTAAATAAACATGGTTTGTTATGGAAACCCATTTACAAAAAAATAAACAAAAACCACCAGGAAAGCATCCAGCCTTGTTTTCCACTCAAGCAGCTGAAGTCAGCCAGAAACAGGCTTCTTGAAAATAAAGGTGGCAGGACAAAATATATGTAGCCTAGGGGATGCCAACATGAAACTCAGGAAGAAATATTAACAGAGAAAAATGGCAGCTTGAAGAGAAAACAACCTGAACCTTCTTAGATGCAAATCTAGTAGTCCACTTTTCATGGTATGTAACTTTCTCAGAAAAATCATCCCGTAAGAAGGCCAGAACAGGGAAAGGAAATAAGAAGCAATGGAACTGGGGAGGGCTGCCAGGAAGGAGAGGGCAGAGTCAGATCTCAGGGGAAGGGAAACAAATCATAGAAAGAATAAACTCAAAAGATAATCCATTATATTTAAGAACCACACCAATACCTTTTAACAAATATGCCCCTCAAAAAAAAGTGTTACCACTTTTCTCTTGGGAATTAGGGACAACAGAAATGAAGGCTCACTTCCCTCCCTGCCTCTCGCATCACAGGAGCTGGCACCCTGTGAGTTTCAGCAGGCAGTCTGCATCATGGATCCATAGACATTTCTTGGCACCAGAGCTAATCTACCACTATTGCAGAAAGTAAATACACAGGGCAATCGAAACCAAATTCCACAGTATCTGATTCAATTGTTTACTAGAAAGATCAGTATGGTTGGTCCTTTGTCTACCGCTGGCAAGTGGTTTTCATATACTTTATTACAAATAAAACAATCTTGCTTGACAATATCATCTGTTATCTTACAAACATGACTAAACAGTCCTAAAGTAATAGTATATCTCTAAAAACTGAGCTTTTCTTTAAAACAAATAAACTATACTATTAGTAAATACCATACCTAAATCTATACAGCATCTTTAAGCAATGTGAAAATGAAATTATGATTTATTAATTTACATAAAAATTACTTTATACAGTAAATTTTTCAAACTGTAAAAAAAAGTCTGAAGCTGTAATTATTGGCATTCATGGGATGTGGTTTGCTCTTCTATCACTTGCTTCACAATTTCTGCCAATTTGAGTCGATCTACTTTATCTGTGAATCCACGACCTGAAACCCAAGAAAGAAAAAGGTCAATCTCTAAACTGGAAGGAGACAGGTTCCTGACAGGAATCCAGTAAGGTACACCTTACTAGTGTCAAATTCACCCCCACCAACGGAGTGTCAAATTCATCCCCAGTACTGATCAAAAGCAGTTCAGACCCTCCATTTTGCAACTGAGCAGTTGCATTAACCTGGCAGTAAAAATTCAGTGTTCACTACAACAGCACAGAAAAAAACCATGATGAGGAAGAACTTTATAATATGTATGTCTGACAAAGGACTTGTATCTAGAATGTATAAAGAGCACATCTATAAGAGAGATATATATAACTCAACAGAAAAACTGTTAAAAGAATAGGCACTTCATGAGAGGAAATCTAAATGGCCAATAAACATTTTAAAAGTGCTAAAGTGCATCCATCATCAGGGAATGGCAAAGTGAAATGACCCTGCAATACAGGTATACACTAACCAGAATGACTGAAATAAAAAAGACAATAGAAAGTGTTGGTGTGGAGCCAGAGTAACTAGAACCCTCAAACGCAGCTAGTGGAAGTATCAATTGGTACAATGACTTTAAAAAACTTGTAGCAGTACCCACTAAAGCGCCCCCCATGAACCAGTACTTCCAATCCTAGATTTGTAAGAAGAGAAATAAATTCATCAAAATATTCTTCAAAAGATATACAC